ATTCCTGCGGGATGATATAGGAGCAAGAAAGAATAAATACATCTCCCTTGCAGCTCCCCTTCCCCTCTTTGTTCCCCTGGAAAGAGAACATTTCCTGCCAGAGATGCTATCGTTTTTTGTCCGGCTAGGTCAGCGAGGCAGGAACCGTGGTGCGCGTTTCCACCTTCCCCCAGTGCGGCAGCAACCTGCAACTCTCTTCTGTCCCTCTTTTTGTGCAGCAGTAGAAGCAAGCCCACTCCAGATGCCGGCTGAAGGCCTGATGCTCTGTGCTTCCCAGAGCTGCCCTAGCAGATCTTTACGTGGGCCCTGTTAGAAAGAACCTGAGGACGGCAGAGCCAGGCTTTGCCAGCAGTGTAAAGACACTAAAAGGAAGGAAAATTGCCCTGTGCCTTTTTATCTGCTCCACTAACAACCTTCACCAGCCCATAGCTCCATCGAGCAGAGAGAGAGGCCTTCATCAGCTTCCCTAGAACTCCCCTGTGGCATGGAGAGCACGTCAATCCAGTGCTAACCTCTCTCCCTTGGACAGCATGCAGCTCTCTTTGTGCCAGCGTTATTTGCTCTGTCATCAGCCTGCAGACTCCCCCCAGCTTGGGACCACAAGGACAGGTTTCCATGGAGTGGTGAGTACATTTTCCTTCCACCCTGGCCCATGCCTGTTCCAAATTTAGCCATTTCCTGATCTGGTTCCAGCTCCTAAATTAACCCAAAATTCCGTCCAGAGCATTGGGGGGGGGGGTTGTGGCGGGGGGGGGGAAAAGGATCTTTGGAGGCAGTTGAATTTTCATTGCCAACTGGAAAAATTGACCTCCAGTTTGGCTGCACCAAGGGCAAGTGTGGCCTTGGCACTTCAATAGGGAGATGAGAGGACTGGTGTGGTCAGCAGGTACAGATGGTGCCCCACAGGTGAGCAACAGGGGCACCTATGGCTCCCAGAGCCCCCACAAAACCTGGTGCAGGGGCCTTGAGCTAATCCGAATCCAGCGCTGTGAGAATGAGCAGTTCAGCAGTGGTGCTGAGGTTGTTGCATGCCCCATGTGCCCAGTTGGCTCAGCCCTCTCCTCCAGGGAGTGGTGAGCCGTAGAGCACCCAAAGCTCCCATCGCTCTCTGGGGTGCGCAGACTGCGTCCCACTCTGGGTGCACAACTTGTGGCTAGCCACTTCAGCCTAGGATCTTCGTGCTCCGCAAACCCTGGCTTATCCGTGCGCTAGGGGCACCAGAACAGACAGGACACTGGGCTGGGAGTCACCTCCTGAGCACGCTGCACCCCCAGAAGAGCTCATCACCTGTGCAAGGGGCTGTAGGTTACCTGATGTCAGGGTGCTGAAATGCAGGACCTTCCCGCGAGCAGGGTCTGGGATCCGCCAGGTAAGCAACCGAGGCGTCCTGGGAAGGCAGGACGTAGGGGTACTCTGGAGGAGGTCCCCGTGGCTCGGTCCCCTCGGAGTGGTGGCCTCTGAGGGCAGAGAGCTGGTAGTGCCTGGAAAGCTGGGGGTAGCTGTGAGAAGAGCTCATGTGGTTCTGCGCCTTGGCCCCGTTCCTCTCCAGGGACATCTGCATGAGGCGTTCGCTCAGCGACCTCACATGGCCGTGCTTCAGGTCCTTCAGCGAGTCGTCCGGGCGCCTGCCGCTGCTCTCGGGCCTGCGCTGGCCGCTCTCGCCACGGGC